GGAAATGGAAAAATTGAACATTCCAGAATGTCTGAGAAATTGGTTACTTCTTTTGCTACAAATTAAACTGCATTAAGAAGGCTGATTGAACTTTTCGCAAAACTTTTCCACTTCCGGTTTGCGTTACTGACTGATGGGACGATGATGACGATGTCTGCAGTAACAGTAACTGTGAACAATTAAGATGAAATTGCGGAGAAAGGAGGAAGAAGAGAAGAAAGAAGAAATGGGAAAAGAGAGCTAAAGTAAAATTGGTGTCAGTAGAGTAAAGAGTTAAAATATAAAGGTTAAAAGTAAATATGGTAATGAGAATTTTGGAAGGCTAACAGCAGTGACACTCTGAATGGCTGACTGATTGACTGGCTGAGTGAATTGGATGAGTTAGTGAAGAAAACTGGTAAGGAGGATCAAAAATCTTTATTTATTCATTTGTTTACCGATGCATTAGTTTTTTCTTTCTTCTCCTTCTTTTCTTTTCTTCTTCTTGATCTTGCTGCTAGTCTTTCAGCAACAAGACGATTATTTGGAAGAAAAAGAAAAAGACGGAAGAGGAGAAGGAGAAAACTAGAGACTGATACAAGATGAAAAGGAATTAGAAAGCTGAACAACAACGACAGTGACGATGACGATGGCGATGGTGAAAAAAAAAAAATGACTGAACGGAATGGAATTATTCATCTGCGCTGTTTGAAAATTGCACAAAAAAAACTTATTTCACAAGTTTCATATATTGCACTTCATCGTTTTTCGCTTCGTTTTGTCCCTTCCCATACCCAAAAATATCTGCTCCTCCCCGTTATCCCCTCCAATTTTTTTTATTCCTTTTCCCTTAACCTCCACGACCACTCGTCTCCCCGTCTTTAGACTGATTTTTTTTTTTTTTTGTCTATATCATACTGCTTTCTTCATATAATTTTGTTCACATTTAAACACCACTTTTTTTTAAGTTAGAAGAAATGTGTTTTTTTTTTTCACTAGACCGCAAAAAATTATCAGCCTTCCAAAACAAAGAAGAAAAAAAAAATTTCATTCTAGTCCCCTTTGCCCGTAGCCTTCGCAGTTCAACAGCAGCATTAGCAACAATGACAAGAAAAAAAAAGAGCATTTTTTGATACTTTAAAAACCCACAAATTTTTGGTTCAGAAAAAAAACTAGCAGAAAGAAATTTATGACGCAAATCGAGTGACAATCAATTTCAATTGGTTTTTTTTTCTTTTTTTTTTTTTT